CCGCCGAGACCGGGTAGTCTGGGTCCTCCGGAGGACCCGGCCTGTCGTTTTGGACACAGCCATAATCGACAGCTGGCAATAAAAAGCTGGAGAAAGCTCACAATTTTAATATCATTCATCATTTCACAAAATTTCTACAACCCTGGTTCAAAGTGTGAATAATAAAGTCATAGGAACAACATGAATAAATAAGAAAATAAAAGAGCCAGTACCTCTTGTAGTACGCCAGCTCCTCCTGAAGTAGAAATACTTTGGCTTTGAGTTCATTCCTCTCATGTAGGACGTCCCTCAGTTCTTGCAAGGTGAACCGGGGCCTATTGGGGTCCTTGGGGTCCAGGCCACCTGACTCGTCCTCCTCACAAAATGCCTCCTGCCGAGGGAGAAATGTATCATACAAACTCAAACACACCAAAAGAAGGAAAAAAATGAGTTGAAGGAAGTGTGGATACTTTAGTGAAATATTTAAAAACAGCAGGCATATCTTTTTATTTTTTGATTTTATGAATTTATGCATGTTTTATTATGTGGACAGCACTTTGGTCCTGTGGGTGTTTAAAGTGCTCTATAAATAAAGATGGTATGGTATGGTATATCTTCATCGCACATCACCTCCTGGCAAGTGTTGGACTAAAAGTCACACATGAGCGTTTTTTTGTTTCAGTGCTTTTGTTCACAACTTCAATTCCAAAAGGTTGGATGTTGTGTAAAATGCAATGATTTATGATCTCAAGAACTCATTTTATTCACAATGGAACATATTGAACATTTTAAGAAAAAAAAGTAATTTTGAATATGATGACAGCAATATATTGTAAAACTTTCAAACAGTAGATATTCAGAATTTGATTTGCAGAAGAAGACAAGAAATTTTACATCTAAGAAATAATTATACACAAACTACCGTAGTTGCTATGTTTTAATGTTTCTACGTGGAATAATTCTCACAGAAATATACTGTATATAGAAGTTTAACAAACTTTCCGATAAATAAAGAAAAATTAAATGTTAATAAAACATAAACAAACATTCATTTTTTAAATTTATTTTTTCAGAGTTTCTTACAGCACCGCCTAAAGACTCGGAGAATAGTGAACTTGATGTTTTTATTCAGATAACTTCAGGTTTAAACTTGGAAACAGTGGAACAAATAAAGTATAAATACTAAATTCAAGATTCTGTTTGAAGTTTGTTACATGCAAAAAAAATAAATATTTTATTATATTTATAAAAATCAGTTTGAATAATATTGTATAGAATTATGCATAATAAAAGTATAAGCATACATATATGCAGAAAGAAAATGTTGCACTTTATATAAAGAACAACTTGCAGGTCTGAATCCACTTCCAAGGAGTTTTCCAATGATTCTGTTTATCTTGGAATGTTAAAAAAAAGTACAAAAAAATCTTTATTAAATCTGGTCACTTTTAACATTGTAGGTCAGCCACTTCTACATTCGTACCAATTTTCATGCTGCTAGATACAGCCGTTTCCGTGCTATTTATAAGTTTGAGAAAAATAAAATACACTGTATGAAAACAATATCACCCCCACTTTGATTATTGGGGGTCATAATAAAAATCTGGTGGAATAAATAAAGTTTAAAGTGGTTGTGTTGTTAATGCATTTGTCATTTGCATAGACATGTTTTTTTTATTCTTGTCAAGAATCAAACAAGCTGGTATAGCAAAATAAATAATAATAATAACAACAACAACAACAACAACAACAACAACAACAACAACAATAATAATAATAATAATAATAATAATAATAATCAATAATTGCCTTTAAGCTAATTTTGTTGTTTAATGATATTAATTATACTGATAATATTAATATTTTGCTCATTTTGATCTATTTTTGCTTTTGTTTAGCATTGTTGCGGTTGCTAGGTGAAAGGACATATGCCAGGGTAAGTAAGGGAGGGAATAAAGCAGAAGGTTCTGATGCATCTCAGTAATCCAGGTAGAAAAAAAATCTAAAAGAAAAAAACAGTAGGTCCTCTGGATGGGTTCTTCTTTAGTGAAACGTTTCATCTCTCSTCCAAGAGACTTTTTCAGTCTGATGAGTTTCAGGTGAACTCAGYCTTAAAAGCACTGCCTCCACTATGTCCACTATCATTGTCCACCATGTGGGGGCAGTGCTTTTAAGACTGAGTTCACCTGAAACTCTCAGACTGAAAAAGTCTCTTGGAGGAGAGACGAAACGTTTCACTAAAGAAGAACCATCCAGAGGACCTACTTATTTTTTCTTTTTGATGAATAAAGCAGAAGGCTCAACTGACCAAATTCACAGCCACTTTTCATGGTTTTTGCAGTATACCAAGGACCCAGCCCCTGAATTTGTACACAGCTTCTTACTTTTAGTTTATAGCTAGTCCTATTGCTATTTTTAGTTTTTAGCCAATTCTTAATTTTAGCTGGCCTTTTTGCTGCTATATTATTTAGTTTGCTTTTTGTTACTTATAGATTCTTCCAAATCCTTTACTGTTTTGCTACATTTAGTTTTTAAGTAGCTTTTTGCTACTTTAGGCTAACATTTTGCTACTTTTGACTAACCTTTTATTAACCTTTTATGTTTAGCTTCTAGCTTGCTTTTCCTTGTGCTTAGCTGAAGTTTGGCTACATTTTTAATTGACCTTTGCTCCTTATAGTTTTTAGGGATCCTTTTGGTATTTTTAGCTTATACCTGGCAGTCCTGTTGCTTTTAGCTAGAGTTTAGCTACATTTAGTTTTTAATTAACTTTTTGCCACCTTTAGTTAGCATTTTGACTCTTTTAGCATGCAGGTAGTGATCTGCTACTTTGAGTTTTTACCACTCAATTTTAGCTCCTTCAGCAAACCAACAAAGTCGTTCATCATCATTCACACTGCTTTGGGCAGAAAATGTCATTTTTGTAGTTTACTGTCAGTGTTTTAAATGCATAAAGGACCAACTTGAAGTGCTGCTAGAAGCTGAACTGTCAATGATCTATATTTAGAGGTTTTGTAATATAGAAAGTCTCACCCAGTTGTCTGAGGAGAAAAAAATCCCCTCTGACACAGTCATTTGTTGTCAAAGTGCCATGCAGAGCCATGATATAATGTTCCCAGGGTCAGTGTAACACACCACCAGGTTTTCTGTTTTTACACATACAGCCAGCCGTGCTATTGTAAGGAATGCAAGTTTAGTGTTAGATAACACACCACCCTATTTTTTTAACATGCATTTCTGCATACCCAAAGCAATGCTGCTTGATCTTCATCCTCCTCATCCTTGTGTCTTTTTGGACTAAAGGAAAGAGATGGGGACTGCAGAGCTGGGTCAAACCTGCTCATTATTAGCTGGAATGGGTTCGATCTTTCTGACCAGCCCTCAGCACCCAACATCATGGTGGCAGTATTACCACTCTGGYGGAGTAAAAAAACAAACCTTTATTATAACTTTACTGAATTTTGTTGTCAGTATCATAAGAAAACATGATCAAAAATTGGAAGCCAGAATAATTGCACAGAAAACCAAGTGAATTCTGTTAAACATTTTTATTCTTCAGCAGTAAAACTCCATCCAAGCACATGCTTTGCCTACTGTTTCCTCAGCTATTTTAGATAATTTTGAACCTGTGTCCTTGTCTGAGGTTTCTGAAATAGCCTTGAAGCTGAGGCCTTCACATTGTCCTAGTGACAGTGTTCCACCTAGGCTGCTGAAGGAGGTTTTTAATTCTGTAGGTCCATGGATTTTAAATTTTGTTAACACCTCTCTCTCTTCAGGTTGTGTTCCAGCAGCATTTAAACATGCTGTGGTCCAACCACTTCTTAAGAGCAGCTTGGATC